TGGGTCTGAAGCTGAGAGGCTGTTGTCCTTCAATATGTAACTCTGTGTAGCAGCCACTGTGCTAGGGTCTGAGGACTACACATGTGAACATGGCTAGCCTGCCCTTGGGAGCTTTAGCTAGCAGAGAAGATGGGCAACCTGAAGTCGGAAAGACCTGAGTTCTAGTCTCAGCTCAGCTGTTTCTTAGCTGAGTAACCTGGGGTGAACTTTCTGGGCCTCAAATTTGTCACCAGTGCAATAGGTAAATAATAGTACTGTCTTCAGAGTTGTTGTGACAAGTGCTATGATAGGCATGCGTGAGGTGGGGGAGGTCAGGCACCAGAGGACAGAGAAGGGGCCTCATGTCATCTTGGAGGGCAGATGGGATCTTGGAGGAAGTGACAGCTAAGCTGAGACCTGTAGGAGGACAGGTTTACATGGTGACACCAATGGAGAATGGGCTGCTGGTTTGGGGACCTGTGGGCAGGTCCATGTGGCCAGAGGGTCTAGTGAGTGGGGATGGGAAAGTGGTGTGACTTGGCTTTGAGATGAAGCCCTGTTTGGACTCGAGCATCCAAGTGAGGTTTGTGATTTGGGGATGTCTTCGCTGCCCTTCATCACAGACCACTGCCTGGGCCCCCAATCGCCCAGAGGGTGGTGGAGAAACCACAGGGAGGACAGTGCAGCAGGGTCCACAGGGTCCACAGGAGCAGGACTGTTTGAAGGAACAGTGGTGGGAACTTGCTTCAGAGCAGCCCCCTCAAACCTGGGGAGGCAGAGAGGCCTGTCAGCCCCCAAGAGTTACCCTAACATCTGTGTGGAGGGGTTTGCCCCACCAGCTGGGCAAAGCCAGTTGAATTCCTGTTTCTTTAACTGACCCAGTTGGTCCGTCATCAAGTAACTGCTCTGTGTCAGGTGCTTTTGTGGACACCGAGACACAGAGGTGAGCAACACAGTCCACATCCCTCCTTCCTAGTGGGTCAGGAGCAGCCATCTTAAGATAGGGTAGTCTGGGAAGGTGACATTTCCTGAAGGACGGGAAGCAAGCCATGTGATTCTCTTGGGGAATGTGCACCAGGCAGTGACCAACAAGAGCAAAGACCCCAAGGCCGGACCCCATTTGGCATGCTTACATACGTGAAATGTGTGTGCGTGTCTCTGGTCATGGGAGAGTGGACGGAGTTGAGGTCACTAATGTATCAGGAGGCAATTCCTGTAAGATGTGTAGCAGAAGAGTGACATGATCTCATCTGGCTGCTGTGTGGGGATGAGACCACAAGGGACAAGGAAGATGGCAGAAGGTGACAGGAGATTGGCCTGGCCTTGAACCCAGCCCAGCTGCTAATGGCTGAGGAAGCCCGAGCTGGTGCCTAAGTCTTCCTGAGCTCCCATCTGCCTTCCTGTAAAATGGGGAGGAACACTGGTGGTTCAGTGGTAGAATTCTCTCCTTGCAGGCAAGAGACCCAGGTTTGATTTTCAGCCAACACACCACGTTCAGCTACCACCCATCTGGCAGTGAAGGCTTGTGTATTGCTCCAGTGCTGAACAGGTTGCAGTGGAGTGTCTAGACTAAGATAGGCTGGGAAAAAATTGGCCTGGTGATCTGCTTCTGAAAATTAGCCAGTGAAAGACCCTATGGATCACAGTGGTCCGACCTGCAGCTGGTCAAGAGGATGGCATAGGACCAGGCAATGTTTCATTTTGTACTCAGGGTCTCCATGAGCTAGCGGCTGACTGAGCGGCAGCTGCCAGCAACAGTAACAACAACAATGGGTAGAGCCACTGAGAAGTGAGTGAGTCCTGGTGCGTGAGTCCAGCGGCTGGTGGTCAACAAGGATGGTCCTTAGTGGCCTGACCCTCATTCAAGTGGACAACCCCAAGACTGAGTGCATGTTGCTCTGATGCTTCCCTGAGAACCCAAACAGTCTGCTCTCTGCCTCCAGCACTGGGCCTGCCTGTCATCTCCCATCTCTTCACATACCCTCATGTTATCATGGCCAGGGATCCATGGTGAGGGCAGAAGGCCCCTCAGGCCTTCCCGCAGCAAGGGGCAGATGGGTGGGGCTGTGGCGTTCCTGCTGGCTCTGACAGGTTGGCTGCCAAGTCCAATGTCTTGTAACTGGAGGCCAGGTCCTGATGAGGAGAGGCAGGTGTTCATGGGGACACGGAAGAGGGGCACCCAGGCCAGAATGGGAGGGGCAGGGAAGGCTTCCTGGAGTGGGGGGTCCTGCATGCTGAGGATGGGAGTAGTTCTCCAGATGCTGCTGCTGCTGCTGGTAGCATGCAGAGATGAGTGATTTCAATGTGTTTGAGAAGTCTGAATAAGAGGACTGGGTAGGAGGGACCAGAAGAAGTGAGTAGGGAGAGATGGAGTGGGACAGGTGAGCAGGGACAGGCACCTTTGCAAAGAAAGAGCTGACGGGGGGTTCAGGAAGCCAGGAGACCAGTGAGGAGGCTGTTGGAGACAGGTAGGCAGGATGCTGGTGGTGGGGACGGAGAGCAGACTTTGGAGGTGGAATGGGCAACTTGGATGCACCTAGAGGGATGGTTGAAAGCTGATACCCTGGTGTGTGGCTTGGTGACTGCTGGATGGTGCTGCCTTGACTGAGATCTGGCACCCAGAAGGGAGAGCAAGGGAGCACCAGCTGGGCTTTGGTTGAGCGTGAGGGGCCTCAGAGGCGCCCCTGGGGAGACTTCCAGCGGGCCTGGAGCTCTGGAGCAAGCCCCAGCCCTGGGTGTGGGGGTCGGCATCCCACAGGGAGACAGACCCCATCCAGAGTGCTGAGTTGCCTGGGCAGCAGAGCATGTAAATGGAGTAGAAAAACACAGAGCGGCATGTAGCACGCAGAATGCTGAGAGCCTGGAGGCGAGCATCTTCCCTGGGCCGGTGGCCTTGGAATGGGGTCCTGACGGATGCCCAGATGTGCATGTCTAGAGGAGGAAGTGAAGGGGAGGCCAGACAGGGAGACAGCAGCAGCTGTGACTGGCAGAGGAAGCCTGGGTGGACGGAACCCTTCATGGGAGAGAGGCTACAGATGAGGAAGGTTGGGGCTCACTCTGTTGTCAGAGGTGCTGAACATCATACTAAAGACCCAGCTCGTTTTCCTGTAGAGCGGGGAGGTCCAGCATGGTTTTGACATGAAGTACATCAATGGGATCCATTGAACAAAAAGCTCGTTCTGATGTCACCGCCTAGGTGTGTTTCCGAGTCATGTCCGTACTCAGTGACAGAGACTGTCCCTGCCCCTCATGTCCTAAGGCATGTGGCTTCAGCCCAGCCAGCTTCCCTTACTGGGGATTTATGAGCAGAGCTGGGAGGGGCAGCTGTGGGTTCTCTCAGAGGTCAGGGACTCACCCTTCCTCTCTCCATCCTAAGCCTGCTTGGCCAGGCTGTGGCCTGAGACAATGGCCTCAACCCGTGCTCCTGCCTGCACTTGGGGCCCAAAGGCTCCTGGCCTCCAAATCCCTCATTGGGAACCCATCTCTCAAGTCTCTCTCTGAGATGGTGGGGTGTCAGCAAGCAAAGAAGCAGCCTTGGTAGGGAGTGGGCACTCCGTGGGAACACACTGTTCCCCACTCCACAACTATCCCTATGTATCCCCTCACTATCCACAGCCCTGGACAATGGCCATGTCCACTGTTAATAAGATGCTTTTGACTTAACAATAGTGATTTTTTTTTTGACTGCTTACTGTGTGCCAGGCCCCAAGCTAAGCATGTTACATGCGTCATCTCAAGTAATCCTCCCCAGGCTTACAGAATAGGTCCTCCTGTTGTACGCATTTCACAGAGGAGCACGTGGACACTCAGAGAGGTTCAACAGCTTGCCTGTGGTCTCACACATAGGTAGTGGGGAATTGGGATTTTTAATATAGGCAGACATAAGGCAAGATTCTTCCTTTTAACTCAAAACCCTACCACTTTCTTCTGAGTGGGGCCAGGCTTCTGTGTTCTCCAGCTGCCCTCTGTCCATCCCTGCCTCTGTAGCTACATATGAAGCTCCCGTAGGGACCCGCTGGGAGATGAGGCTCATCTCAGGGAGTGAAGGGTAGCTGATGGTCAGACTGGCCTGGGGACCTCAGCTGGGTATGCTTGCTTTAAGTGACAGTGGGATCATTTCTTTATCCCTGTAAGCCTCAATTTCCTTATCTGTACAATGTGGGCCACCAGTCTCCACCTTTTAGAGCTGTGCAGGGAAAAGGAGGGAATAAGATAAAGCCCTTAGGCACCTAGCAAAGGTGCAGGAAGGACCCAGTAATGGTCATTAGATTCTTAACACGGCCCTCGTTGCCAACACGAAATGGGGACACAGTCGACCTAGGAGCCGCCTCCTCAGGCCCGAACAGGTGCCAGTGGCGTGTCTGTGGCGGAACCTCAGCACAGGGCAGGTGAATCACTTACCGCTGAAGCGTGTATTATTCATGTTACTCTCAGACTCCTATCGAGGGCCTGGGCGGGAGCCCACATATGGGAGGCGCAGCCTCAGAGACAAGCGCCTTCCCGGACCTCGAGTTGCCATGGAGTCCCGCAGGCAACCTGGGGCGGACGCCCGCCGCGGTGCCCGGGCTCGTCCCCGCGCAGCCCTTCTCGTCTTCGGTCTGCGGCCTGCCTCCTGGCCTCGCAGGGCTCCACCGAGCTCGCCTTTGCGTGGGTCCTTGGCCATTTCCTCTGGGACACGCGCGGGGAGAAATAAAATAGTGGGGACCGGAGAGGCGTCCTCGGGAGAGCAGGGTGTGCGGGCTTGCCGAAAGCATCAGGCCCTGACATCCGGCAACCGCGGAGCCGAGGCCGCGCCACCACCCCACTGCGGCCGGCTGGGCCGAGCGCTAGGTCCCCAGGCACTGGGAGGAGCCGGGAGGAGCCCGGGGAGGAGCTGGGGCTGCGGCGCGGCCGCGTCAGAGTAGTGCTCCCAGTGCCCCGCTGCTGAGACTCGGCCCGGGCGCCGCCGAGGACGCGGACGGGGACCCGCACGGGCACGGGCGCTGCGCTGGGTCGCCTCTCGCGGGCCGGGACTCGCGACCATGGCGGACAAGGAGGCCGGCGGCAGCGACTCGGGGCCGCGAGGTGAGCCGAGGGCGCAGGTCCTGCGGTTGCGACGCGGAGGGAAGGAGAGGGACTGGGCGCGCTCAGCCCCGCTCCCTGCACCCCTGCGGCCGCGGGAAAGGGGCGCCCCGCCGCTTGCTACCCTCGCGGGCGAATCTGGGGGCCGGCTGGTCACGTGCTGCGCTCGGGGCGGGGATGCGGACACTGAGGCGGGAACAGCAGCCCCCGCCCAGGCACCCTGACTGTCCATATCCATCCCCCGCGCGCTGTGCCGGGGCGCCCGCGCTGGCAGGTTGAAAGGCCGGCCGTGGGGTGGCCAGATAGCCCCAGCGGTTCTTTTCGTGACTCAGCGAGGCGGGGATGGGAGCCCGGGTCCAGCTGAGATTTGGACCTGTCCCCTCGCCCCACCCCGGCCCGGATGCACGCGTCAGGGGTGGAGGCTGCAACAGCTCCGGGGGGGGGGGCTGTGCATCTCACCACCCCCTCCCGGCCGGACCCGGGGATGCGCTGGGCTGGGGAGGGGCGCAGCGGTGGACTGGACTGTCCCCTTCCTGCTCAGAGGACGGACTCTTGCAGTTTGCAAATGGACGGGGGCCGCGTTATTTGGGGAGCGGGGTTAGAGCTCAGACGGTGGGGCGCGGAATGGGGCCGGAGAGGACCGGGACGGAGGGAAGAGGAGAAGGGATCTCTGCCGCCAGGGCTGTAAATCTGGGCTTCGTCTGCGGAGGGGAAGAGGTAGCCGGGAGGTCGAAATTCCAGTTTTTTTCTGCGGGTCCCAAGAGGAGAAAGTTGGGCGCACCGAGGCGCCGCGCGTCTCTGACCTGTGGACCCTCGGCAGGAGCAGCAGTCAGAGGGTCAGCGGGGCCCGGAGGCTTTCCCGGGAGCCGCAGGCACGCTGCCTAGCAAGGATGAAATTAAAATGCCCGGGACGCACGTGAAATCCAGCCTGCCCAGGAGCACTGGGCTCTGCGAGGAAACTGAGTCCGGTTGCGGCGCGGTCACCGTCGCGCTGCGCTCGCGGCCCCGCTGCCTGTGGCTGAGCGCTCCCCCCGCCCTGTGCTGCGCCCGGAGCCACTTCTGCCCCCTCCCCAGCCCATTGTTCCTGCGGATCTGGGAGGGGCCTCCCCACACAGCACTGCAGTGGTGGGGGAGTGGGGCGGGGTGGGGGAATCCTGCCTGCTCGCTTCTGGGAGGTGCGGTGGAGAGCCCAGGCCGTCGTGCCCAAGCGCGCACACCAAATCTGTCCCCTGCCCTGCCTTTCCCTAGCAGGCCACCGCGGGCAGGGGGCTGTCTGTCTTTGTCTGAACATCATTCAGCAACAGAATTGACTCGATTCTTTCACCTTTTTCCTTTAAATTGAAAAAATCGTTATGATGATGGGGAGGGCATCCCAGTTGCTAACGCTTGAGAATTGCTGAGCCAGTTCCTTGCCTCTCACGCTGGGCAAGGTTGGCTGCCTGGATCCAACGCAAGGTTGTGTTAAGATTTGTCAAACTAGAAGAGTGAGTGGGGATGTGCCCCTCCTACACTGCCTTTTTGGTCTTGTGAAGTGGAACTCAGCCCCCCCCCACACACACACACACAGTGGGGCACTTCGTGGTTGTATCTCCTCAGGCCTGGGAGACAGACCCAAGATGGAGAAGCACACTTTGGTGTGCTCAGCCACCTGCCACTGCTGGCCTGTGTCTCATCTAGATCTCTTCCTCGTTTTCAGGCATCTGCAGTTCAAGACACCCTGAGAGGATTCCAGGCTTGGACTTAAGACACAGTGTGCCCTGGGGTCTGGGTTCTCACCCACCCTGGAGAGCAGGCTGTCGCTGACAACTCACCCCACCTCTCTGACCTCGCACTCCTTTATCTGAAAAATGGGGACAGTATTAGTGCCTCCTGGGAGCAAAGCCTGCTCACCCGCCATCTGACACATCTGTTTCTAAGGTTTCCTCGTTGTGTATTCTGTGCTGGACATTGAACATGCATTTTTTTTTTTTTTCCTTTTAAGCCTCATAGCCAACCAGTTAGCAACATTCTTCTCTTACTGGGTAAAGAATCTGTATACTGAGGCACTTGCAGGTTGAGTGACCTCTCCAAGGTCATGCATTTAGCTGTGTTGATTTGGAAGCCAGCCAGCTGATTCCAGGGCTCACGCCTTTCACCACCATCCTGTGTAAGCCCATGGGTGTGGCCATTGGTTACCATCCTATTGTTGCTGTACTATTGTTAGCTGCTGTCAGGTTGCCCTTGGCTCATGTTGGCCCCATGCACAGTGCACAGTGGGATTGGACCATTGTGATCCATAGCCATGTCACTGACGTTTTTGGAAGTGGACTGCTGGGCCTTTCTTCCTTGTCCGTCTCAGTCTGGAAGCTCTGCGGAGACCCGTGAAGCATTCTGGCAGCACACGGGCCTCCACTGACAGTCAGCTGGAGGCAGCGCTGAGGTGCCCTGGCTGGGAATCCAACCTGGGTGTCCTCCATGGGAGGTGAGATTCTACCACTGAACCTCCCCTGCCCCCTGTCAGGCTAGGCATACACATAGATGCCTGTCAGGGATTATTTCAAAAATGCTTTCCAGGCAGAAGAATGAGAAAATGGCCACCAGCGTCAAACTGTATTGAGATTTGTGAGGGAAAGGCATTCTGGGTGGTGGAGTGTGCCCCAGAAGCTGGCCCTAGACTCTTTTGGGGCACATCAGGTAGGCGTGGGAGTCAGTGGAGGTGCTGATGAACAAGAGTGGCGCAATGTCCAGGGTTGTCGCCGTTGGGCCACAGACACCCTCAGGCTCCCCACACAGTGTCTTCCGTTACCCAGAGCCTGGGGATATCCTCTTGTCTCTCCACACGGGCAGTTCTTCCTGCCCACAACACTCCTCTTTTTGTCTAGCAAACTCCTACTCATCCTTCAAAACTCAACTCAGACATCCTCAGGAAGCCTTCCTTGACCCCCTGTGGTCTCAGTCTTGAGTACTTAACTGTGGGTAATCCTGACTAATTATTGAGTGATTCGATGTGCCTCCAATATCCCTGTGAGGTTGGCATTATGACTAACCCCATTTTGCAGGTGAGGTAAGTGAAGCCTTTAAGCCATTCACTCACTTGCCCCACTCACCCAGCCAGTGAATGCTGGAGCTGGCATAGGAGCCGGGCACAGAGCCTAAAAGCTTGTGCTCTTTCCCTCCATGCCTTGCCTCCCCACACATTTCCATATTTATAGTAAGGGCGGCCCTGGTGGCACAGTGGCTGCTAACTGAAAGGTGGGCAATTTGAGCCCACCAGCTGCTCCGTGGAAGAAAGATGTGGTAGTTGGCTTCCATAAACATCACAGCCTTGAAAGCCTTATGGGGCAGTTCTACTCTGTCCTCTATGGTTGCTATGAGTCGGGATCGACGAGGTGGCCACAGATTAGTTAAGGCACACAGAAGGTGTTCAACAAACATCCCACTGTGTATTGAGTGAATACCAGTCATAAGACATGAGTACACACTGAGTCAGGGAATGGCGTCCACAGTCTGCCCACTCCCCAGTGGCTCTTCTAGAAAGGAGGCAGTTCCAGAGAGGGCTGGAGCTGGAGGAGGGAGAGCGCTGGGACAGTCCCCGAAGAGATGTTGCTTGGATTCCAACCAGACTTTGAGTGACAGCTCAATCTTGTGGGGGCGCAACGCTCCCTCATCTCCTAAGTAGGCCTTTTTGCTCTGGGAGAAAGCGCCTTTATAACTGATGTGCATAATTGGAGAGGCAGGGAGGGGCCAGGGGTTTTTAATGAATGGACAGCATGTGGCAGGGAGCGAGCGCCTCCCACCCACGACACCATAGGCCTGGGCATCACCAAGAGCTGGGTGAGCCAGGGAGACCCCAAGGGAGTCCACAAATCCTTGCTGCATTTCTTCTGTTGCAAACAACCCCTAGTCCTGCCTCTTTTCTGACATGTGCAGTAACTTGGTGGGTAGAGGAAGAAAGTGGCTTTGGAGCCCAAAGACTGGTGTGACGCTGGCTAGGCTTTTCCTCCCTTATCTGTGAAGGGGGTACATAGTGCATTCGAACTCTGCCTGCCCAGGCTGGTGAGAGGAACCGTGGAAATAACTAACAGTGGGCAGAAAGCAGTTTTGTACTTTGTTGAGCACATGGCCTGTAAGAGAGGGGTGGCCTTGCTACCCTCCATGAAGATGGATTGCTGTTGCCTTGTGGGATGTGGGCCCAGAGCTAGCTGATCTGCTTTCTTTGGAGGCTTTAGGAAAAGGACTGATTCTGCTCGGATAGGTCCCAATTCCTTGGAACCTTCAGTCACTCCACTTTCTGAAGTAAGACCCTCAGAAGTATCTGGCAAACATGAGGTCAGCTTTCCTCATGCTCTGTACCCCGCCCCATCTCCACAGCTTCCACTGAGGGAAACAAGAATGGTGACAGCTGGGGACCTGGTCCTGAGGGGCTGGGAGGAGGTAGTGTCAGGAACCACACTTTTT